TGACAACCGTGAATTAACACATTGCCATGGACATACTGAAGGACTTTATGATGGCAAAGGCCGCGAGGCATATGCTTCCCTAGTCCGACAGTTTTCCAAGAACCACGACGATTCCTTTGAAACCGCCCTCGGAGCTCTTCTCCTCAACAAGCTCCCTTTGCGAGTGAGAAATCTGGTATATGATCGTACTTCGAATGACCACATCGTCTTCCCCTCGAAATTATCCCATCTACTGACATCATTCGAAAGGCTTCTACACTGTTTGAAATGGAGACTCAAGCCTTCTACGAGCTCTCAGAAGAAATATCGTAAGTGCTTGTTTTGAACTACCACTCCCGTCACGAAAGAGTGTAACGCTTTCTTTATGGCGAAAGAGCGTATTGAACAAATGAAAGTACGAAAACTTTGTTTCAACTGCCTTTCAAGTTCTCACTCCATAAAAGATTGTACCCGAAAATGTGATGCTTGTTCTGCTCAAAGAGACACCACTCGTCGATGTGCTTTCAATCAGGCCATCTCTAAAAAACATCCTCAGTGTCACCTATCCTCAGTTCTCTTACCCCCACTCCATCAACACATCCAGAATGTAACACTTCTTCACGTCGAAAGGCTAGGCTATCATACAGTGCACGTAGAAGTCCTTAAGAGGCCTACCCTTCTCCGAATCCCATGAAAAACTCATTAATGCAGCAAGCCAATGTCCTGCGATTTGGGACCCTGTCATTTCCTCGACGAATAATGCAGCAAGTCTGTCGCTTTCCGCACTCGTGTGTACAACCGTAGGCTTTTCAGTCCCAGTGATTCCTTGCGAAAGTGTTATTGCAGCGTCTACGATGACCTCCCAACTAGGACATACGAAAAGCGTAGATTCTGTAGAAAAGTGTAATTTGACAAATAAAGCAGCCTTCGCAAATGAGGCATCCACAACTGGATGGGCAGTAGGTATAGCCTGAGTGTTCATTAGCTATTTCCAAAATTTCCTTGACTTTGTCCTTTGGTTAGATATTGTCGCTGTTTTCTTGGCGACTTCAGTTCATGATCCTTCGTGAAAGTTCGCCAACGGATTACAGAAGGCACCTTGTATATGGAGCTCAAAAAATATGCACAAACTCATGGAAACCTCTACATCACCTCAATTATCCTGAACTTACGCGATTTTTGGTGAAAATGGCGACGCAAAGGCAAGCGTTAGTCTGCACTACAAATTCAAGTTCGCAGAAAACATGAAAATCACCGCTCGACAAATGCACACTACTTGCGAATTGGAAGTAAGTGGTTTTGTGGGATGCTATAGTTGCCTTGCCGACGCCGAACTTCCTCTATCATGTAAAAGCGAAGAAGGAGATGCTTTTGTCAATACCTTGTGCCCTACCGAAAATCAGTTGACGAGATGCGCGATGAATGGATTTGTGAACAAAGTAAAGCTTCACGGTACTTCGCTAGTCTATCTGAAATCGTCAGCTTATTGGAGGAAAGACTGATATTACCCTTTATGGCCATCTACATACATCAGCGATAACTTGATCGAAGAAGACTTGCACGCCGACAGCAAGCAGAACAAAATTCACGGAGACATCTCGAATTGGAACACACATGACGATTGCATCATTGATTTCTTTGTAAATTTTGCTTACCTATCTCCCTTAGCTCATAATCCAAAACTCAAAGATGATTGTTTTCAGTATTTTCTGCTTTTCCATTTTATGTATCCTCTTATCGTACTCTAAGAAAACCCCTAAGTCACACTATCATCACAAACACCATTAAGCTCATCTTCCTCGTGCGGTGTTTCTGTAAGGCTACAGAAATTGTTGAAAAACATTCTGTGACTTTTGAAATTGCGCTTTAACGTGAATCATAACTTTGCCAACTTTTTGCAATCTTTGGAATTCTGCATATGCTATGTTGATGCAATACTGCTATGTTGACTAGGAAATAGTTTATGAAGAGAAGAGAGTCGTATGGTATGCAAGCTCGTCGAAATGTTCTTGGGCGCTTCCTCCTTTTCGGCACTTTCGTGCAATAAACGTCAAGCTTCATCGTCTTCATCGTCAAATCGTTATCGTTAATGCAAGAAATGCTTGATTAGTTTCTTGATACGCAAATATCGATATTATGGTTTTTG